GATGGGTCATGATCACTTTGGAAACTGAAGTAGCTTCTTGGATAAAACTTTTCCATCATAACCAGAATGATGTTCACAACCTCTGATATTCCCATTGTGACCCAAGGAAGATGGAGAAATAAATCACAGTTTGCTAATACTAATCTGCTCTGTATAGGAAGAATGTGTTCTGATATTGTTATATATCATGTAGTTCCACAGCGCAATATCACAATCAATAGATAGGTATCTTTTGGTAAAACCAATTTATGCAATTAGCAGTTTCCAAGGCAATGGTTACAGTTTGAGCTCAGTACCAATGGCAATATTTAAAATCCTTTTAAGAAATTCAGCTTAATAAAGTACTGGCCTTTGTAAGATCCAGTGATGCTGAAATTTGTTAAAACAGTATGATTGTATTACATTTTAGTACAACATTCTCATTTTTGATACTTTAGTAGATGAATAATAAAGATTATTTCCTCTCTAGCTGTTCCAATTGAAAGTACAATTTTGTATTTTTGTGATGCACTAACCAAGGGTTAAATTTTGAGGAGCTTTCCAGCTGTTCCAGTATGTGAAGCTATCATTTTAGCTGCTAGATTTAAAGCAATTGGCATCCTCTTAAAAACAGCTTGCAACACAGGTGTTTAATACTTCCCCTTCAAGTGGGGAATAAAACGAAAATTTTCCTCAGTAGTGTACAAGACTGAGCTGTTGGACAGATGACATTCAATATTAAATAAATTGAAAAGGTAAAAGATGAATTTGCAACTAGACTCCATTTAAGCTCAGAATATGTATTTTCTTCTTGGAAACTCACACATCAACACACTGGAAATCTTATTAATAGAAAAAGTTAATTTAGGTAGCTTAAAGTCATTTAAAACTCTATTACTGATAGTTTTCCCCTCTGAGTTCTAGGAAATTGGATTAATAGTATGCATAAATGAAATACTGTGAGGTAGGGAGGAGTCCAAAAAATCTCTGTGATTTCTTATTAAAATATGTCTCTAAAGCACAGTTATTTTTCCTCTCAAATATTTGGCATACCAAAAAAGTGAAAAAACATAATGAGGTACAAATATTTTATTAACAGCTCTTTGAAATGTTTCATGAATAATTTGTGGGACAAAGAATCCTGATGCAGTCTCTCTATCCCATCTCAGCACAAAAGCTTTGGTTTTACATGAAAATGCAGTTCACTACTTTCTGTGTGAATATGGGAATATATTCTATTGGATATTTTTTTGATTATATCAATTGTTAATGTACTATCACTAATTGATATACAGCAACAGCACTGCAGCAGTGCACTCAAAGCCAGAACTGCAGACTCACCCAGAAGCCATTGCCAAAGAAAATCCCACAGCTACACCCCTGCTCATGATTTTTATTATCTTTTATTCCTGGGAAAACCAGACCTGAAAACTCTGAGACAGACAGCAAGTCCATTTTGCCATTTTCTCCATTTTTGTTTACTTGTTTCCATGAAAATATCTACTATTCCATAAAAAGAATCAAATCAAAAGTATTCTTATCTATCTTCTGATCCAGATTTGATCTGTTCAAGTGCATAGGTGGTAACAGCTAAGGGCGTGATTTGAAATGTCTCAGAATGGATTCAAGTCTGTCTTCTCTCCAATCCAGAGTAGAGCTTCTAAATCAGTTTCTAAACCCCTTCTAAATCAGGCAAAACAGGAACATGCATTTCAGTTCCTGCTGATATTTTAGTCCAAAGGCTGCTGCTGCAGCAATATCTTTTTCCACTAAAAATATTGTTATCATCCTCTGTTCTCTCACACTTTTAGAGCCCTCTTGTGAGAATCAAAAGTAATCTGAACATGGCTCACTAGTTTAGCTTCTGCTGGATGATTTGTTGATATAAATTTGGCTTCAATTCTGTCTGAAGATTAAAGACTCAACAGCATGCATGTTACTGCCAGCTTCAACCATCTGCCATTTACTCTCAAGTACATTTTAACCGTGATATTTACCTACTTGCTGCTGTTTTGTAAACAGAACACAGAATAATGGATACCTTAGCACTTAACCTTTCCAAAGCCCTTATCTCTGGTTTAGCACCCAGTCCCCACACCTTACTTAAATAGAGCTCCCAAACCAAACCCACATTGATTTTTTTTCCCTGTGATAATTTAGCAGCTAGATAACTAAAATATGAAAACTTTCATTATGAAGCAGTATTCAAACACTTCAAAATATCCAAGATCTTTCATAAGAATGTCTTATTAAAATTATTATTTCCAATACATGAAATAAAATCAAAGCCATTTGCAAGCAAACTGCATTACTTGTCAACAAAGAGAGCATTATACAAACTGAGGTAAAACTTCTGTGTAATTTATGCCATAACATCAATGGCAGGTCCATTTCATTACTAATAGGAGGTCAGACTATCAACACAGGATATTCACTAAGACTGCAAATCATTAGGCAATTTTGTCAAAAAAGTGTTGTACAGTTCAGTTGTAACAGTCTTGGAGGGGCTTTTTTGTATTATTTCTTTCTGAATTATATCAGTGAAGCTGTGCCTTTGAATAGGCTAGAATTACTGCTATGATGTAGAAATAGTATATAAATAGCATCTACAGCTAAACAAATTTGTTAATTTGGTTATGCAGTTTCTCAAAATGAAAGGTTTAAACCCAGATTTCTTCAGATGTGTGTACAGTCATGCCTGCACTCATTTGCTGTATTTTGAAAAAGAAATTTCTGAACAAGAATTCAGATACAGGTTGGGCAGAGAAGAGATTCAGAGCAGCCCTGCAGAGATGGACTTGGGGGTGTTGGTTGATGAGAAACTTAACATGAGCTGGTAGTGTGTGCTCGCAGCCCAGAAAGCCAACTATGTGCTGGGCTGCATCAGATTTAGCATGACCAGCAGGTCAAAGGAGGTGATCCTGCCCCCCTGCTTTGCTCTCCTATAATGAGACCTCACTTGGAGTACTGTGTACAGTTCTGGTGTCCTCAACATAAAAAGGACATGGAGCTGTCGAAGCAAGTCCAGAGGAGGGCCACGAGGATGATCAGGGGACTGGAGCACCTCCCGTATGAAGATAGGCTGAGAAAGTTGGGGCTGTTCAGCCTGGAGAAGAGGAGGCTGCGTGGAGACCTCATAGCAGCCTTCCAGTATCTGAAGGTGACCTACAAGGCTGCCAGAGGACTCTTTATTACGGATGGTAGTGATAAAACAAAGGGTAATGGGTTAAAACTTAAATAGGGGAAGTTTAAGTTACATGTAAAGAAAAAGTTCTTTACTGTGAGGGTGGTGAGGCACTGGAACAGGTTGCCCAAGGAAGGTGTCAATGCTCCATCCCTGGCAGTGTTCAAGGTCAGGTTGGACAGAGCCTTGGGTGACGCAAGGTGTCCCTGCCCATGGCAGGGGGGTTGGAACTAGATAATCTTAAGGTCCTTTCCAACCTTAATTATTCTATGAGTCTATGATTCTATAATTCACTGTTAAGAGGAGGGTAGTGAGTGTTATAACACTGTATTTGAGGCAGGACCTACTGCAGTCAGTGGGTTAGTATTCACTGGCCATTTTTTATTTACACAAAAAAGCATAACAAAAACGTTGAAAAGAAGAAAGCAACACCTTTTGTGTAAGCTAGAGAGATGAGTATATTGGAGATAAAGTGAATAAATGGGAATAACATGAAACTACCACTACCGATCATTTAAACACAGTTGAAAGAACAGTGATTGCTGTTAGAAACATTTCAGATTTTCTTCCTTGTTTCCTGAGAAAGGTCTGGTATGATGACTACAGGACCCTCTACAGAGAATTTGTTATGCTAGAATGATCTGGCTTTGTTCCTTTATTCTGGAAACCCACTTCATAACCACTTTTTCTTGGGGATCATTTTCAGTAAGGATGCACAATATTACAAGAAGAAAGAAAAAGCTTTCTTAGTCTTTACCTGCCCTGATTGTTAAGCAACCCATTAAAATCTTACTTTTAGTAGTTGAGGGTAGCCTCTAGGAGAGAACAACCCCTTTCCCCTTCATACACACGACCTGATAGAAGGTGTTTGTCCATTAAACTCACTGACCATCTGAGCTCTATGGTCAAAGTGCTGACAAAAGAGTTACTGTCTATTTTATGTCCATCATCTCCTGCTTGTGTCCTGTTTATGATTTGTTAGTGTATTTAGCTGCCAGGTTGAAACTATAAAATATATCTTGATGTCAGTGGGAAATTTTCTGTGTAAGACATAATGTTAGTAAATAAACCAAAATCTTGAGTGTTACTCTACTAATAGAGTAGAAAAAGGGTAGAAAAAGAGTAGCAAAAGTCTAACACTGGCTTTTGTGTTTCTGGATGCTCTCTCTCTTCCTTTTTCTTAGTTAACCCTATGATAACTATGGAGGTGGAGGTTTTAGTCTTAATCTCTTTGTCAGCTTTTATTGTACGTAAGAAATATCACTCATGGGTAAAGCTTAGGATTACTGCATTTAAAAACAAATTCTGATGTATTAGTACACCAAGGTGCATGGGCTCAAATACGGAGGCCTCACAGTGGACCCGCCTTTTCAGTTCTTAAAGGTACCACCAGTTACAGCAATGCTTTTTACTGAACTCATTATAAAATTCAAATTCCTTTTTACTGCAATCCTACGTTTCAATTCATCTTGTTTGAGGTTTACAATTCTATAATATTTCTATTTTTCTTAATTTGTAAGGAGCATAAACCACCACCTGCTCTCAGGAAGAACTCTTCATCTACTTGAATACAAGCAATAACTGCCTTATAGTCAGATAACAAAAATGTGTAATTTTTTCGCCATGTTTGAGCCATACTACACACATGGTATTGCCTACAAATTGAGAAGTGTAATTACAGCCAGAGAGCTGTAGAAATTTTGAAGTGATTGTTCACTGGAAACAAGAGAGAAGACAATTATCAGTGAATGAGAAAGAATATCCACATAAACTCTTTTCCCTACAATATAGTTAAATGGCATAAGTATAACTTGCTGAATATCTTGAGCCAACTTACCAATTTCCACTGGGAGATGGTTGATTCGATTTTTTGACAACTCCAGTACTCTCAGATCTTGAAATAATGCAATGTAGGCTGGAATGGTTTGTATCAACGTATTGTACACATGCCACTCTTTCAGGTAGATCTGCTCTTTCAGAGAATCTGGAAATTCCTGTAAATTAAGTAAGAACAGGTAAATCAAAAGCATTAACTTAGAACTTTGTTCTACCACATTTCTAAATACAGGGGGCAAAAATTCCGCAGCCAAATGTCCACACTTTGCCTTAATTATCTTGGTGTAGAACAACAGTTTGCCAAACCCTCATAGGAGCAGTTTGCTTTTGAAGGGCATTGCAGTTGCATGTCACCACATGTTCACTTTTTAGCTCCTGTTGCAGTCTTTTTGCTGTAAAACTGAAACTTATCTGAAGTACTCAATCTGGTTGGTATCTCCCATACTACCTCTTTTTCCAGCTGGAGGACTTTTTTTTAGAACATGTTTCAGTGCTTTAATTCACACATCAAGATGTAGCAAAATGCAACACAGAAGAATGGATGTATAAAGAATATTTAAATAGGGCATGCCATTAAAAAAAACATATGTGTTTATGTTCTTAATACCTGCCAATGTTTCAAAATTTTTTTGCCAAGGTAGAATACAGTCCAAGGAACAGAAAACATTTCAGATAGGACACACACATACCACTTTTTCAGAGTGGTTTTTTTTTTAAATAAGTGACTTTACTTCTGAAGTTATTTCAGCAATGTTTGAAAATCTCTTACTAAATTTCTTTAGGAAGAATAAAAATGCTCAAATTTTAAATCAGTCCACAGTTGCAATTAATTCTTGCTTTAGTCATGCAGAATCTGTTTCTTTAAGATTTCTAGTATTGTTCCAGATACACAGGGAATAAAAATTGCTTCTGAGTTATTGTCCAAAATCTCCAATGTATAATAGTTACTGAAACTAAAAGTTTTAAAGCCTTTAATTCTTAGAAAATTGCTTTAGTTAATTGGTATTCAGTTCAGATGTACAATCCAATTCTTTGAATTATGTTATCAAATTCCTTGAACAAGAGACAGACAAAAAACAATTCATAAAGTCAAAGGTCAAACCATTTAAACTCCTTTCTAAAGCAGCACATAATTTACCAGTTTGTCCTGTTTTTAAATAACTGTACATTGGAAACATCTGGAATAAATAATCGGGGTGTGGTGCTATCACTAACTGAATTCCATAAAAAGAGATGTAAGAGTTTCAGCCTTTAATTCCTTTATAACTTCCAAATTCTTTCCTATGCATAAAGAATACAACACAGTAGGAATTACTGGGTTTTATAAAAAGAACTTCGCCCACCTTTTTTTTTCTTAGATATTTCATAGATTGCCCAAGACATTATCAAGAGTTATGCATTTTAATTGTTTTTTTATTAGTTCTGAACTTCTGAGCTAGGAATATGGATACTTAATTCTTAGCTAAATTAAAACATCCAACTGGCTATTGCTGCCTCTAATGCCAGTTCTGTTTCAATTTCCACATGCAGACACTTAGCCTGTATACATAGTTCTACCTTGCTACTTGCCCTTCAATATTTGATATGGATCATTTAATTTCTTGCTTCATTTTATCACTCTGTGCATATTGCATTGTGATCCATCTTCTATATTTGCCAGTTTATGGCATTTAAAAAATAAAATGCCTTAGGGCTGATAAGGAGAAATCTCTTCAACTTTCTGAAGTGGGTTTCCACTCCTTCATCTTCAGAAATCTGCAGAAAAATAAAAGAATAAATACCAACTGCTAATTCAATTAGCACTGTCTCACATGTACAGAACTGAGAATGCAGCGCATAGAGGATAGCATTTAGCTGGAGTGTCACAGACGCCACTGTATGGAAGAACCCTGATTCACAGAGAAAGCGGATGAAGAGTAGTCATATTGGAGGGAAAAAAGATGTCTGGGTAACGTATACCATTTGTCGCTCTATTTCTCCACAGTCCAAGTCTGTCTTTGTTTTTCTACTGACCTGCTGGTTGTCTGCATCTTGTTGTCACAACAGATCATCTCCAGCTCCTCACTGGCCTATACAGCAGGGAGCAAAGGGGGATGGATGCTTGGCCTTGTGAAGCCAAGAGCTTTGCTGTTTTCACAGTTCGGAGGGGATATCCCACAAATTTTTCCTTGTTATATTGAAAACAGTGTAACAGATGAAGTACTATCTCAGATTAAGATCAAACCCCTTCACAATTTTAGAAAAATTAAGCAAAAATAGTTTAGAAGTTCTTCATTACTAATGCAAAAAAAAAAAAAAAAACTAAATCTTTTTTTGTGTAGTAAGAGTAGTTTAAAGCACCAAGATACTCTCATGAAGCAACTGAAACAAATACATACATAACTTCAGAAGGAGGTTCTATTCTTGTGATTGCTCTGACTTACTATACTTTAATGAGATTATTTCTTTATAGCTTATAAAAATATTTACAATTTGCAAATTTAAGTTTACAAATACTTTACTGTAATGGGGGGGTTAGCATTCTCTATCTTACAATACATTTTATTTTTGTTGCTGAAACATAAATTGATATGATATTTTACTTCATTTACAAACTAGATAGATAGATAGGGATGGGAACTGAAATTTGCACAAGCTTTATGTTTGCTTTACCCTCCGATTCCCTTGTGTTCTTTTGTAATCTTCTGCTGCCACACTAAAGCTGGCAGACTGCTGATAAATTGCTCCATGAAGACTGACACTTGGACGATACCCAGTCTTTTGCCTTTAACAACAAAACCATACCTCTAACTCCTTTGATTTTGGGGAGAGAAAATAAAAGGAAATAAATAGGAAACCTACTACGGTTGCTGATTATACTGTTTCTAATTAGGACAGAATTTACCTCCTAGACATGAGCCTGAACTAAAACTGTCATCAAAGATCTGACAATTTTCAATTCTGTTTCTTTTCCAGCTCTGTGGTTTTATCTGTAATACGCCAAACCAAAATTCTGAATCTAAATCTCTGTCCTGGGTTCAGCAGTAGCAGCCATTTTTGTCCTTCTTGGTAGCTGTTGCAGTGCTGTGTTTTGACTTCCAGCCTGGGAACAATGCTGGTGATACCGATGTTTTCGGTTGTCGCTAAGCGATGTTTACTATGACCAAGGACTTTGTGAGGCTCATGCTCTGCCAGGGAGGAGGGGAAGCCGGGAGGAAGCAGAGACAGGGCGCCTGACCCAGGCTAGCCAAGGAGGTATTCCATACCACAGCACGTCATGCCCGGGGGTGGGGGGTAACTGGGAGTTACCCGGAAGGACACGGGCTTCTGGGTCAGACTCGTTTTTTGGCCGGTGGTATTGTATTCTCTTCCCTTGTTATTTTCTGTTATCATTGTTGTCGTTGGTGGTAGCGGTGGTGATTTGTGTTGTACATTGGTTGCTGGACTGTTCTTGTCTCAACCCGTGGGAGTTGCACCCTTTCGATCCTCCTCCCCATCCCTCCAGGAGCGGGGAAGGGGAGAGCTCGGGGGGGGGGGGGGGGGGGGGGCTTCAGCTGCTCTCAGCCCAGCACCACTCACTGGGAGTGAGTGAATAAGCTGTCTGGCTAGGGTTTAAACCACGACAATCTCTCTCATTTTTTAGCAAGTTTAGAGCTAGTTCCAAATCTAGTATGTCACAGGGCCACCTGTAATACATGGCTAGATCAGGAATTTTATTCTTGGGGGGAAGGGGGGGGGGAGTCTCTGGATATTAAATAAGCACAAGAGACATTTTCTCTGTCCATTCAATGCAGCAATTTTACTTGACCCTTTGTGTCAAATAAATACCTTGTTGTCACTAACAGTGACAAGAGAATAACAAATGCAAATTCTCTGTTCTTTGTGAATATACACGTTATGTTATATGATAAATCTGGGAGAACAGATGTAAATGTAGTAATTTATTTGCTGCATTTTTCTGCAAAGAAATTATATGTAAGAAAGTAATGGTGTACCAGTAAAAAATTTTATCATTTTTCATTCACTTACTTCTGCACATTTGACATTAAAGTTGTTTAAATTAGGTGTACATCCAGATCCTTTCCTTAGTAAAGCAGCACAGCCAAGAACAGTCTGCTCTCTATTAGAGTGAACATCATCACCTTTCCTTTGCCAATATTGATATCACAAATTCAAAAAATTTTTTTTCCTTAATATTTTCTGAAAATCATTTCAAATTCACTGATCCACTAGAAATTAAATATTCATTAGTTAGAAGCAGAAAGTAAACAATCTCAGAGGGAAAAACAGACTTAAAGTGGATACATAGAAAAATTCATGTGAATATTCATGACATTATTTTGCCACAGTTTTCATTCTTCTCTAATAGCAATGCTATTTCTCTGAAGAGCTGATTTAATTCAGTAGATACTTGTTTATATCTCATGTAAGTGTTTCATCAACTCTCCATCATTTTCTCTAGGCAACTGATTCAAACACACAACACAAGAGTCCAATGTCCTTACACAGCTCCTTTTCACGGTGAGTTTGTCTGGAAAACTGACTGATAAAGTTTTTCTGAAATATACTTTGGAATCATCAAAAAACTTCTGTCACAATACACCATTCTTGTGCTGTCAAGTCCCAAGTGTTTTGAAAATACTTGCTACTGGGGAAATACAATAGGGTTCTGCTCAATTTTTATAAAGAGAAAAGTCTGTCTGATTTCATTCACAACATCAGATTATGAGAGAGGTTAGTCATTTGTTTTTCTAAGACCTTTTCTTTCCTAAATATAAATATTAATTCATTACTGTTTGCAGCAGGGAAAAATGCACCACACAGGAATGCAGACACTTAGAATCATAGAATCATAGAATGGTTAGTGTTGGAAAGACCTTAAAATCATCTAGTGCCAACCACCCTGCCATGGGCAGGGGCACCTTCCACTAGACCAGGTTGCTCAAGGCTCTGTCTGACCTGGTCCTGAGAGCACTGGCATGGATGGAGCACTCACAGCATCCCTGGGCAACTTGTTCCAGTGCCTTACCATCCTCACAGTAAAAAACTTCTTCCTTATACCTAAGCTAACTCTCTCCTGGTTAAGTTTAAATCCATTACCTGTTTTCTTACTACCACCATCCATGATAAAGAGTCCTCCAGCTTCTTGTAGACCCCTTCAGATACTGGAAGGCTGCTATGAGGTCTCCAGGCAGCCTTCTCTTCTCCAGGCTGAACAGCCCCAACTCTCTCTGCCTGTCTTCACATAGGAGGTGCTCAAACCCCCTGATCATCCTCGTGGTCCTCCTCTGGACTTGCTCCAACAGTTCTGTGTCTTTTTTATGTTGGTATCCTGGGTTCAGCAGTAGCAGTCATTTTTGTCCTTCTTAGTAGCTGCTGCAGTGCTATGTTTTTGACTTTCAGCCTGGGAACAGCACTGATAACACCAATGTTTTTAGTTGCTGCTCAGTAACGTTTACTCTGACCAAGGACTTTCTGAGTCTCATGCTCTGCCAGGGAGGAGGGGAAGCCGGGAGGAAGCAGAGACAGGACACCTGACCCAAACTAACCAAACAGGTATTCCATACCACAGCACGTCATGGACAGTACATTAACTGGGGGCAGTTACCTGGAAGGCTAGATTGCTGCTCAGGTCAGTCTGGGTATCAATAGGTGAGTGGTGAGTGGTTGTATTCTCTTCCCTTGTTATTTCCCTTATCATTATTATTTTTGGTGGTAGCAGTAGTAGGAAAATTGGGAACACCAGAACTGTACACAGTACTCCAGGTGGTGTCTCACAGGAGTGGAGTAGAGGGAGAGATTTATCTCCCTTGAACTGCTGGCCATGCTCCTTTTGGTGCAGCCCAGCCAAGTATAAGGTTGGCTTTCTGGGCTGCAAGTGCACACTGAAGCTGGTTCATGCTCAGTTTCCCATCAACCAACTCCCCCAAGTCTCTCTCAGCAGGGCTGCTCTCAACCCAGCCTCCACCCAACCTGTAGCTGTGCCTGGGACTGCCCCAACCCATGGGTAGGACCTTGCACTTGGCATTGTTGAACTTCATGAGGTTGGTATTGGCCACCACTCAAGTGTGTCAAGGTCCCTCTGGATGGCATCCCTTCCCTCCAGTCTGTTGATTGCACCATACAGCCATCAGCAAACTTGCTGAAGGCCCACATCACCAACAAAGATGCTCAGCAGGATCAGTTCCAACACCGATCCCAGAGGGGCACCAGTCATTACTGATCTCCACATGGACATTGAACCATTGACCATAACTCTCTGCATATGGCCATACAGAAAATTCTGTATCCATCCAACAGATCCATGTCTTGAGTCATAAATATGTGATTGGTATGCAGAAGAGGAGGCAAGGATCACTGAACCTTAAGGATATTGTCACACAGCCTTTTCCAGATGAAGCTTTTACAGACAAAGGTAAATCTCATCACTGCAGTTATCAAACACTGTCCACAGCCAGTAGCTAACCACCCTGAACAGGCATGGCCAAACCAGTACTCAAATTACAAGAGGATTTTCAGATTCAGAGGGACTCACTGATTATATATTCTTCAAGTATAAAAATTCTTGATACTAATGCTTGATAATCAGAGCACTGTGGTTCAGAAGATTTCCATTAATTTTAATGTAACAATATTGCTAGAAAACAGTTGTGACTTGAGATGTCTAGAGGCTCAAACTGCATGTCTCAAAAAGCCTAAAATTGAATGATAACTAGTAAGAATTAATAATCCACAATGAATTATGGATCTGCATAAACAAAATACAATTCCTCAGAATTCATATTCTGTAAAATCAAGCCCTAATCTCTTTAGCTAGTACTCTGTGCCTATTTGTCTAACCTAATATTCATTGTATGAGCTTTATCTTTCCTCAGATATGCTAGAATAATTACTTTACAAGTACAAGGAACAGTGGGTCTCCACCTAATGAAAATACATTAGCTTTTCAATGACATTTGAGAGGTGGGAAAAAAGTGATACAGAGATGCTAAAGGAAGGAATTCTATCATTAATTCAAAATGTGTGGTCTGCTCCTATATTCTGCCTTACACAGGTTTTCTGAAGGAGACCCAAGATGATTTTCAAAAGAGCACTATCCAGGTAATTTTCAAAATAATTGTCCAAGCTATCCCAGTATATAATAGAGTGGTTTACAAAACTTATTTTTAACCTCATACTCAACAAGGCAGAACCAGTGAGCCAGGTTCACTCTTATGCCATATGGATATGGAGCATGGAACAGTAGCATCTTTGTAACATGTCTACACTTTTAACATCTAGAAAGCCTGGGCAGTGATCAGTTACCATTTTAACTGATTGAAACATTGCAAATAACACCATTAGTTGATAGAAGTTGATTTGTGGATGCAGTTCATTTGCTGCTGAAGTTTCAAGTGGGAGCTCTTAAACTGAGACCTATGGAAAGGATGCAGTAAAGCCACTTGCTTCAATCTTGCAAAATCCCTGTGCTGGGGATTACTCTTCTGTGAGACTTAGTTTCACAGAGTCCAGAAAGAGAACTGGTACAGCCCAGAAGCAAGCCAAGTTCTCAAAATTAAATCTGTAAGGCATACCAGCAACCTACTCAGATTTAGCTATCAACTGTCTAGAGGATATATTACTGCTTCAGCGATGAGAAGAAAGGGGAAACATAATAGAAATACTTATCAGCTAAAAGCAAGTGGAAGAGAGGATTCTGCAGCTAGTTCCCAAATGGACACTTCACAGGACTGTAGTGTTTGCTGCTGCCAGCGGTAAGTAGACAGCCAACAGCAAACCAAGTTGGTTATGTGCCTGTAAAATTGCACAAACAATCCCTCCTATGACTTCTCCTAGTGTCTGAGTGCTTAATCATCCAAACTTTGAACTCACAAATGTATTTGTGTGCAAAAGACATTACAGGAACTATACCACAATTGATGCCACATCTCCCAGCTACATGACATCCCAGCTTCTCTGGGAAAACTGTCACCTATCCACAGGTCTTTTCACATGCAAATTGCCAGCCTGTGCAGCTTTTGTTGTACAGTCTGCACATTTGCCTCAGTGCAATTCTGTGAGAGTGATAGGGGAAATTAATGTCATGTCTGATTCTGTCTTCAGTTTAGAAGCAGAAGTTGAGAGTGAAAACAACAAGTGGTATGACTTGTATAACATATTTAAAAAAAAATATCTGCAATCAGTTCTTTCAGAACTTTGGGGATTTTCACATTTTTTAAATAATTTTTGGCTGCTAGAGACTGACAATGTTCTCTTATTTTGAAGGAGCACTGGTCTACTCTAAATAAAGCAGCTTTGATTTTAACTTTGTCTGAAGATACCTGAACTATGTTGCAGCATCTTGTTAGGAAGCTCATTTTGACCCGGCTAGACCTGGACAACAAGCTAAAAAGTAATAGCTCTGCAGCAACCAACCCTACTAAATAAATAATTTGCATCAGTAGAAAAAATAGTCTCCTTACTAAAGCTGGATGGAACCAGGGCGTTCTATTTTGCAGAAATTTCATCCATTTTATGTTTATTCAGAAAAGAGCTAAAGCCAGAAAAACATGAAAGCTGAAAAACACCTTTATATTCAAGTTCAAATCTGGGACAAACTTACATTTCAGGTCAATCAAAATATTTTTTTTAGTAAAATTTAGTAATTTTATTAATTAACATTTAAATTGGGTTTTTTGTAATTAAAATCTAAAATATGTATTTCAAAATTACAAGCTACACAAAAATAAAAATTCTAATTTCACTTTCTCATTAAGCAGTGTATATTCAAAATACATTTCAATTAAAAGTGTAGTAACTTTAGAAAACTTCAGACCAACTCTAGTCCAACTTCCACTGACTGTCATAAAAACTCTAATTCAGAGTTTACTTCCAAACTGTTATTTCACATCAAATACAACTGGAGGTAAAAAGAGCTTTTTTTTCCAGCAAGACAACTCTGAATTAATGCTAATACTAATTCTGATTTCAACAGATCTTGAGAAAGATGTGACCACACCATTACAGCAAGAAGACAGATCCCTGAGTAGTAGACTAGACATGAATGAGCTAACAAACCCAGAGAATCTTTTCATCTCTTTCCAATCACTGGGGAATATCAGAGAAAGATACCTTATTGCAATATGATTGTTTATACCAAAATTTTTGAGAGGGCTAAACTACATGTATCAGGAGAGTATTTAAAATAATCATATTTGAAAGCCACACCACTAGTTCAGGGTGAAACAGGAAATGTTTTTGTCACTTCTAACACTGTGGAAAAAACATCCATTTTATTTGCATTGGCAGGAAAAAAAAGTTTTGGGAGATGAAAAGTTGCAGTCCTAAGCTACCCAAACTGTTTAACAATAGAAACACAATTTTCCATTATATTTACCGTCCACTGTTCTCCAGAAAGGTGAAAAATAAACTTGTTTCTTTCCTTATTTGCTTCATCTGGCAAAACACGCTTCTTCTGCAGGTGAGGTGTCTTTCCATATGTGTCCAGAATCTTCTTATCAGTGTCTACAAAGCCATTCTTGAGGTATTTTGACTGAGGAATACCTTTCTTCCGGCACTCTAATATGAAATTCCATTCCTGCTTTATCCTGAAATGGGGCCAAAAAGGGTTATGTAAATCAACTGAACCAATATGGCAAATAAGTCTTAATGTTTGGTCTTCATTTGCACAAGTATTTAATAAAATATAAATATGACTCTAATGTAATCACCATTAAAAAAAAAAAAAAGGCATTCCCAGAGTCCTAGAATCATTTTTAGATTTCTAGATTTAATATAGATTTCAGATGAGCAGGATTTCATTTACTGACTATAAAACAGAGAATAAAACATTGACCCCCAGAGAATAAAAGAAAAATGGAGTCTGAATACACTGTCACAGAAAACGGCATAAATGATATTCTTTATATCAATAGGGTAGGGAAAACATTCTCACAGAACAAGTTATATGTATAAACAAAAATTAGTAAGAAGTTAGAAATAGTCCCTTTTCCCTGACCTTTCTTGTTCAAGTATAATGATCTATTCTTATTTTTTAAACGTTATCTTCCAATATCACCTTAGAGGGCAAAGGCAAAGGTCAAAGTTATGACAGGCCAACCAATTTCATATTCAATTTCAGTGTAACTTTAGGCTCACATCCAGGGCAAACTTTTACCTGTGTAACTTCAGGTGCAAACACAATTTTATATAATTAAGCAGTGTCAGAAGCATGTGCTTTAATTTAGGAAAGATTTATTTCAGCTTAGTCAATTAAGAAACAGGTTGATTAACTGAAGTATGCCTTCCTTGTACCAAAATAAAACTGTGTAGAGCCTCTTGTCTCATAAATTTGATGTCATGCTTTGAATGATAGATTCTTGTGATACATATGATCCATTTATTTGATGTCCACACAGAAATTTTAAGCTAAAGACTTGCAGAAAACTGACAGGTGAAGAAGGGCACAAAATTCAGGATAATGTGGCCCCTAGCAAAAGTGAAAAATGTTATGTCCTACAAAGAAAATCACATGTAAGATTTCAAAGTTCAAGTACGGAGTAACAAAACCTGTACACATATCCCCAGCTAAGCATGGGACTTTCTCTAAAATGCTAAAATGCTAAAAAATTAGCACATGAAACAGAATGTCTTGTTTTAACTCACATACAAGAAATCAGTTACAAATTGAGATACAGGAAGCATCTTCCAGACTTGGTGAAAATAAGCAATTTTTGGACACTCATAGCAAGATACAATATAGAAACTGCAAGGCAGAATATATTTATGGGAATATGATTGCATAGTTTAAAAGTCAGATTTGACTCAATGCTATCAAAATAAATCTTTCAGGTTCAAAACTGCATGACTAAATAGGAAAGGTATTATGGAGACAGCTGTAAACTGCCCAGCACAAATAGCAGCATTTACTAAAACCTTCAGTTATGTTAGAGAGGCTTGGAAGCAGAAAGCACAGCAACAGCAGGAGTCTTCACCTATCAGCATACCCACAGCATGTTGGCAGACAATGCACACTTTTGTAAACTACATATGAGTGTTTATCAGCAGCTAGCCTGAGAGACCACAAGAAGACCTGATTCAGTTGCAAAGAGAAGCACACTATACATGGGTCATAAGAGAACTACAGAAAGACCCTTCTGTAATAATAGCTCAATGTATTCCCATGAACATCTTCATAGAGAGAAAATAAAAAAATCTAGAAGCATTTCAGAGGATGAGCTACATAGGCCAGTGAAGATATTTAAAAGTGCTGCTCCCTGGTTAAAGTGCTGACAGACTGCATAAAGGCAGCTCATCCTCAGAGTAAGTACATAATAATGAAGACACTCTAAGGATCTTTTTCTCCCCTCATTTCCAAAACATACAGGAAAAAAAAAAAAAAAAGAGAAAATTACATTTATGTTCGAATTAAAAAATGAGAAGACAGTATAAAAATCAGATATAAAATCACAACAAAACAAGTGAAGTTATTTACTGCAGGTATAGAAATTAATAGGAAAAGGATTTCTAACACATCAGAAGCAGAAAAGTTCTCAGAGAGGCAGTGGGAACAATTATTTATCAAGGTAGGAAAGAAGCAATGAAAGAATAGTCAAAGTAGTTATTGAGAGCTGCAGAAAAGTTACTCATCCTTGGCTTCATTTTTCATTACAGAGATCAGTACGTTCTTTACAAGTAAGCATCTGGAAGACTTTCTGATATTTATTGTCAATAGAGGAGGCTTGAGAATTAAAAAAAATAGATATTTGAAGTAAATCTCACTATTTCTCTCAGTGTCTAATTGTGGACTGCTTTATACTACAGTGAGCTGTGATATTTTTAATGAGTTAGGAAGAAAAAGACTGGATAGACAGAAAACAATTCCAGCAACACATTCAGCTCAGTGAGTCCTTAGAGGGGTATAGAAGCTGCAGTCACAGAAGTGTGTATCACCAGTCCACAGCATCTCAAATTATTTTTTCTACATCGATTTGATATTACAAAGACAAAGAAGTTAGAGAAGACTCAGCTCTTTAGGCTATTTTGTGATCCTTCACAATATGCTGCATCTGATACTCTGGTTACAGGATGAGAGACACACAAGAACTTGATTGCAGTAGGCAGCCCTACTAAAGGGTATCCCCTCCAGTTACAGTCTGGAAGCACTCAGATTACAGAATTTTTCATATAAGCAGACATTAAAATTGAAACTCCTCCTTCAGATGCTTTGACTCATGAGCCAATTAATTTCTTAGTGTTGATCTTGTCTATTCAATTTGTCATTTGAACTCCAGAAACCACCAGCACAACAGAGGGCAGACAATTCAAGAGTAATAGATCACTAGGAAAAGCTAGAAAATAGTGCTTTCGTATACTGTAAGAAATATAAGCAGGCCCAGAACACCTACTCATCTTTTTTTTCCAAAACTCATCTACCAGTAAGCATACCTAATTAGCTGTAAAAGCTCTGTATTCCTGTGGGAGGTGGGTGGGAGGTGAAGTGTGCAGGGAGGGTGTGGGGAAAGTTCATTGAATCCTCAAGAAACAAAACAAAAAGATGTGAACTATTAAAAGTCAGGAGCTGAAAAAGACCAAAACTCTGGCATTACTTTTTTTTAATCTTCAAAATAATCCTATCTTTACTTAGCACTGCTGTACTGTTGTTTCTCACATCCTCCTTCAGTCCTCCACATACAGCTTTTCTGTCCCTCTGCGAAGCTTAATTCTGCATTACCGCACTCTCATTTCCATGGAATTGTTTGATTTTTGTACTAAAGCAATAAAGATTTTATCTCAGTGCATAATTCAATGCACTAAAAAAGCTTATCTCCAAGATGCTTTTCTTGTATTCATTGCTCTTCACTCATATACACAAGCTGACTGACTCATTCCCCACAGTATAAATTCTACAGAGGTTAGAAATTTAACAGAAAAAAAAAGAGGTTAAAAAGTCTAGGTCTTGATAAAAAGTAAGGCACTGAACTGCTCTACTGCACCTTAGTGCTCTGTCAGGTAGACCCCTGGAACAGAAGAGCAGAGGGCTCAGATCTAAATTGTTACTCTCACACAAGGGATACACAAATCAGCAAGAAGGGAGCTACATTAAAGATGAAACAATAAACTGCCCTCTGACACTTTATTGATAACACATACAAAACACAAATCTCAGGAGGTCGTGACACATTGTCAGCTAAATAAAATAAAATGCACATAGAAAAAACTGCTGTTAACCAAATCAGTCAGTGAAATATTGACCTAAGAAGAAAAACAGGTGTTAAAAATTAAATCTGTTTAGGAATTCAACATGGATATCATGCACTGATTTGGAAGTCTTGTGTAAAATTTCATCTTTACTCATGTATTAGATGATAGCAATCTCTGTTTAGCTTTAAAAGAAAGCTTATGGTCATGGGGCTAAGTACTATGTAAAGCACATTTTGAACAGATGAAAAGTGAATTAATAATTAAGCAACAAAAATGCATAATTTTATACAGTGCATCTCAGAATGAAAATATGGTCTATCCCAATGGCAGAGGTCCTAACAATTTACAGCCCTCGCTTGTATCCTTGGGGTGCACACTAGCTAAATGAGTCAACATGAGCCTTTCTGGCATGAAGGTGTGGCTTAGACCAAGCCAGTACATTATCATTAAGCAAAGGTTGCAAAGCTGTAATTTGCAGGTTACAGCTGAGATCAAATCAAAGGGATCTATTCAGTTCTATCATTGTCCAAAAATTGAGGTGAAGGTACTTTTAAAGATCTTTATGAAAATAAAGATCATTTTAAGTCTTCCTCTGGTGACAACTTTCAAATAAAATAGAATTACCACCACATTTGTCATATCTAGAGGCTATTTCACGACTTTTCTGTAAAGATACAAAAGGCACCTAAAATAAAGTGGCAAACAGAAAAAAAAATGTCCACCCAAATAAAATGAGCCTTTAAATATGTTAATATACTTTCAGAGAAATTAAATTTCTGGTCTTAGCTTTTTAAAACCTCCTGATGGTCCAGGAACACTTTTTCACATACGACAAACAAATGAGTTAGTTACAAAATCACAGCCCTCCTAAAGTTTAGGTCTTTTTGTTACTATCCATCAATAAAATATTTTGTCTTCCTCTAGAGACTGATCAAAAAGTCAGATTAAAGAAACAGCTACCATTTAAAATATTCAGAAAGTATTAGTCAAGTAAAGCCTAATTATGGGGGAGTATGAAGAGGAAAAAAAAAAAAAGAAATTCTGGACATGGGAGTCATGTGAGTTCTAAGGTTCCAGTATTTTACATCAATTATGCAAATAAACAAACTAATTTTAAAAAGGCTGATTTCATGCCTCTAATATTTGTCAAAAAAAAAAGTGTTGTTTCATGCCTTTATATCTGTAACACAAAAACACACCTCTCACCAAAGCAGACTATAAACGGTATGGAAAAAAGGTTAATTCTAGCAAGACATTTCCTAATACATTGCTGTATATCAGTGAGCTTTCAGGACAACACACTATACAGGTCATCCACATGGGCCAGGGCAATCCCAAGCAAAACTACAGATTGGGCAAAGAATGGATTCATAGCAGTCCTGATGGGAAGGATTTGGGGGTGCTG